TTATTATTAAAAAGTTATTCCTAATATCTGGTGATATCTCCCCACCCAGGGCCATTTTTGGGCCGGAATGCTCCAGAATGGCGTTCTGGCTGCCTTCCAAGCCCGCCCCTCCCTGTGGCACAAGTCTGCATTCATGACGAGGCCCAGTTGCGCTCTGTTTGGTGGTGGCAAGAGGCCCACCAGAGGCACACACAGCAGCAGCAGGGGGTGCCTCCCAGCCGGCGGGGACTATAAAAGAGCCTGGCAAGAGTGGCCGTGGCACCCGGTGAAGGACGGAGGGAGGGTAGGGAGAGAAAGAGAGCAGGCGGCAGCAGGGACTGGTGGATGGAGCGATGCGCACGCCCCGCTGGGCTGTGGTGGCTCTCCACGGCTCACCTGGCCCGGCTCCAGTCCCCGGCGTGTGGAACACACCTGCCACTCAGCCCCGGCCTGGCCCACTCTGCCTTGGGGGGTCCCTGTGTGGCAGCAGCGGCAGCACCAACTTTCAGGGCATGGAGGAGGGGAGTGGCAGGCAAGGACCTGGGACCTGTTGCTACTCGGTAGGCAGCAGCGGTGCCGGCTGGAGGGGGCCAGGCCACAGCCGGAGCAGCAGGGGGTGGGAAGTGGAGGGCAACTTTGCTCACTGGGATTTTCTTCCCTGATGCTGAAGGGGGGTGTTTACCAGCAAGGGCCCAATCCTGGGGCGCGGGGTCCTCTCCCTCCAGGGAAGTCACTTGGGGCCGGAGCACTGCCTCGTGCATCCAGGAGTGCTTTGGAGCTGGGCGGTGTGGGTAGGCATAGGTTTCGCCCGACAGAGCTGGGCAAACTGGTCGGAGCTGCTGCTGCCGGGGAGCCTCCGGTGCCGTCTCTCCTGGTGGCATTAGGAGCCTTTTCTGTGCTCCACGGGGGGCTTTGGCTGGATACGTGCGGGGGAGCAGAGGGAACAGCTTCTGAAGGAGCTTACCTTTCAGCCCCGTGGGACGAAGTGCCCGAGGCCCAAGGGAGGCTTCCCCTTTGCCTCCGGGCGTCCTTTCCTTCGAGAGCCCTGCCTTCCCAGCTTAGCTTCGTGGGCTTCTCTCTACCCAGGGCCCTCTCCTACCTCTCTGCAGCTCCACCTGACAAATGTCATAAAGTTTCCAGACGGAGAGGTAGGGAGTTGCAGACGGCAGGCCCAGCCCCCTGTAGCTGGAGGAGAGGGAAAGTCCAGGGCGGGGGGTGGGGGGGGCCTTAACAGAGAGACAGTAATAACAACTCATTCATATTTCTGTGCCTTCTGGCTGGAAGCACTTCGCCGGCAGGATCTCAGTTGCCCACTCTAGTTGTTTCTCCCACCCAGAGAGGAGGAGCTCAGCGGCTGGCAGAGTTGCCAGGCTTCGGAGCATGCCCGGGGGGCCACGTCTTTTTGCTCTCCCGAGAACTTTTATGGCTAGTAAGACGTACTTGGACGGGAGGGCCACCAAGGAAAACTGGCAGGCAACAACAAACCCCCTCTGCTCATCTCTCGCCTTGAGAAACCCACAGTCCTCCTGGGGTTGCCATGAATTAGTTGAAACACACTTATTCTTTTCAGATGGTGGCACCCACAGCAGGAGATGTGCTTCCCCCTGGAAGACCCAAAGGCAGCTTGCTGGCATTGGGGGGGGGGGGGCATGCCCGGAACACCTTTCTGCTCCTTTTGGGGTTCCCTGTCATCTGGCCGTTCAGCAGAGAGAGGCTGGAAGCCTTTTCACGTGTAAAGAGATGATGTTGTGATTTTATTAGACATGAAAATGTTTTCTCCAGGGCTATTTTTGGGGCGAACGCCCCGGGACAGTGTTCCGGCTGGCTTCTGAGCCTGCCTCTCCCCGTGGCACCAGCCTACATCCGTGGTGTTCCAGCCCAAAAACAGCCCTGCTGTCATGCACACATTCTGTGGAATCATAGAAGTGTGGGGTTTTTTTCATAACCTCCTCAAGCAGGCCATTCCACAAGGTGGGAACCACCACTGAGAATGCACATGAACAGACTAATCTGAACCCAGGACTGTCCCTGCAGGAGTTTCTTTGTTCCCACATTTTGTTTTCCCCATTTCTTTCAGAGGGAGCTGACCCCCCAATTTCCTGCTGCTTCAGCTATTCGTCAAAGAAAATCCCATTCAATTTACTGGGAAACTACTACAGAACCAGCGAAAGGTGTTCTTCCCCAGCCACTGTGTAAGTATAATCATCATCACTATTTTGGTAAAGGAGAAAGGGGGGAGTCATATATGCTGAGGGTGCCCCCTCTGGTTTAGGCCCTTTTAGGCCCTAACCTGGATGGCCCAGACGAGCCCGATCTTGTCAGATCTCAGAAGCTAAGCAAGGCCAGGCCTTGTTAGTATTTGGATGGGAGACCACCAACATAGTCCAGGGCTGCTATGCAGAGGCAGGCAATGGCAAACCATCTCCGTTCACCTCCTGCCTTAAAAACCCTGAGGGGTCGCTGTAAGTCAGCTGGAACTTGATGGCACTTTACACACACACAAACACACCTTTTAAGGTGCAACTGCAAGTCCTTATGTGTCTTGACCAATGGAAACTGTTTGTTTCTTCTTGGAAAACCTCTTTGGATGTGTTGATCTACCTCACTGGAGAAGTGGAGACAGAAATGTTTACGTACGTGCGTGTGCCAGATATGAATGGGTGTTGTTTCTTTAGCCTTGGCTGCTTCCATGCAAGGGGTCCCTTGGCACTGTAGGCAGATTACTCATCTGCAAAATGCCAGAAGCGGAACACTAACTGGCAGGCCCGTAGCCAGGATTTTTTAAGTCGGGGGCATTTAACTTTCTTAGGGGGCACTGGATAATCAATTTAATCTGGGGGAGAAGGCTGTGACACCCTGAGCTAGATGGGAAGTCAGGGGGCCTTGCCAGCAAGTCGGGGGGCCTAGCCCCTAGATGCCCCGCTGTAGCTATGGTCCTGCTAACTGGGGTCCCACACGGTTTTTAAAATACTGCTGCGCTCTGCTCCCCATAATGCTGCAATGTCACATTCCCACACAGCCTGCTTTCCTAAGAGCAGCTGTGATATGGAAATGGTTAGTTAAAGCCCAGCTACCTGGGGAAGGGGGTGTTCATAGGACACTATCAATTTTTTAAAACTAAGTATAAAGGAGGTGATTTCTATGTTAAGACAATGACACAAGGGTACTTGGAGGAGGAGGCCCAAAATCAGATAATTGCTCTGGCTGTTTTCTGGCAATGCTGGTTCAACTCACAAGAACAAAACCTAGAGCTTTCCCTGCTAGAGTGTGCAATGGCCACAGGCACCTCTATGTTGCCTGTTGAATTTCAGGATAAAATACAGTATTCCTCATTTTGAAGACCACTGCATCCTGTTCTTAGCTGGGTTTTGTTGGCATATGCTATTAACGCCAGGATTTGGGATTTGCAGGGGTTCAGAGAGAAGGACTATGTTTTTGAGCAGATTGGTGAATGGAGTGTCATTATGCAGTGCTTGGCATTATACATTTCTTTCATGCTTATTGCAGCTGGGAGAGTAACACTAGATGAGGAAAAAGCAGGGAAACTGAGATCTCAGAGGAAGGGGAGAGTGCTAGAAATTCCCTGAAGTGCAGCTGGTGTCAAAAGAAAATAAGAAAATAATATTGCCTTTTGTTGGCTTCTTTTGAGGTTTATTACCAAGAAAGGCCGGGAGATTTGTGCCAACCCCGCAGAGAGATGGGTCCAAGACCATGTCAGTCGCTTGGAGCAGAACTGACCAGAGCAGCGATGGAGCCACTTCCAGTGAGGCCAAAGGCTCGTGCATGGTTTCCTGAGAACAACTATTTCCACAATAAACAATGATGTTTCACTGAATTGTCTTTTGAGTTTTGCCCCTTTTTTCACTCCAAAATCTAGGCAAAAGAAAATTCTGTATTTGACAGCACATTACAAAAGGGCTACCTCTGGCACACTGAAAAGCTTTCACTGTTCCCCTCTTGAGCAATGGACTCTCCTCAACACCTCTGTGGTCGCTCTTGCTGTCATTACCCCTCTTCAGGGTGCCAGGCGTGTTCCACGGTGCAGCTTGCATTTGCCAACTGGAACAAGCTATCATCCGTTTTGGAGATGGAAACCATTTCTCTAGAAAGAGAGGCCCTTTGACCTCCGGCCGCCAACTTCTTCTCAAGAAGTGTTGCTCAATGTCTGTTTGAAAGTCAAACTGCTGCTGCACAAATTTCTGTCATCACCAGTCTGGGGAGGACAGGGACCTCAGTGGGGTACACCCACCAAAGCATCCCTTTTATCCAAAGGAACTGGTCCCTGTAGTCTGGAGATGAGCTGTAATTCTGGGAGATCCTCAGCTCCCACCTGGAGGATGGCATCCCTAGGGGCAGGATAGGAGCTGTCAGTCATAAGAACAGAAGAGAAGCCATGCTGGATCAGGCCAATGGCACATCCAGTCCAACACTCCGTGTCACACAGTGGCCAAAACCCAGGTGCCATCAGGAGGTCCACCAGTGGAGCCAGAACTCTAGAAGCCCTCCCACTGTTGCCCTCCCCAGCACCAAGAATACAGAGCATCACTGCTCCAGACACAGTGTTCCATCTGTAAAAAGGTAAAGGTTTCCCTTGCTCGAGAGCTAGTCAAATCTGACTTTAGGGGGCCCTGCTCATCTCCATTTCCAAGCCGAAGAGCCAGCACTGTCCCAAGACTTCTCCGAGGTCATGTGGCCGGCATGACTAAACGCCAAGGGGCACAGAATGCTGTTATCTTCCCACCAAAGCAGTACCTATTTATTTACTTGCAATTTCTTGCTTTCGAACTGATAGGTTGCCAGGAGCTGGGACCATCTTTACCTTGTGGCTAACAGCCACTGATGGACCTCTGCTCCAGTTCCCTACGCAGTCTTCCGCCTTCCAGGCTTTCTTTCCCACCGAGCCCCTTCTCCAATTGTCCTCCGCTGTGCAGAACGAGCTAGTAAAGCCCACAGCCGAACCGCCGGGAGTAGGAGGCGCCGGAAGAGTCGGTGCCCGTTGCCTGCGGCTGCCCGCTCTCCGCCCTCCTCTTCTCTTACGAACTGTTTTGCAATTAGTGGGCAGAATCATATCTCGAAGAGGCGGGTTCTGTTGCTGGTCACGGGAAAGTGGGTATGCCAAAACAACTGTTGTTTCTTAGATTATCGGATATAATTTTATGTTTTTAAAAGTTTCCAGCCTGCTTTGGAGCCTATATTTTTAGACAGCAATTGAAAAATAATGCAGAACTGTTAGTGACGCTAATGGGTAAAGAGGACATGACGTTTCTCTTGGACCCTGCCGCACCTCCAAAGTCCAAAAAGTTAAGTGTGGCTTTGATTTGGAGCCCCTTCACTGAAATCGATACTTGCCGAGAAATCTACTACAGTTTTCTGGACGAATCGGTTTATTGAAGGAGGGTCCAATACGTTTTTTACGCTGTTTGCTGGGAGCTGGCGGAAGTAACGGGGCGGAGGCGCCGAGTTCCTACATGAACCGCTATTTCTGGCAAAATACAGCGCTTGCTAAATCGATATATTTTCAGCAGCAGTGCCTGCCTAGAGATGGGAAGCCTATAGTTAGGCTTCTGATTTTATCTCTTCCCACCTTTTCGTAAAAGAATGTGTTTCTTCCATCGAAGAATGAGTGGCTTTGTGTTTTGTTCATAAGTAAAGTTTTAAAAGTTTTGTAGGAACTTGATGGGTGGCCTTGGGCCAGTCACACGCTCTCAGCCTAGCCTACCTCACCGGGTTGTTGTCAGGGAGGATAAAATAGAAGAGAGAGGAGGAGGAGGAGAAGAGGAGATTGGATTTATACCCCACCCTTCACTACCCAAGGGAGTGGCTTACAAACTCCTTTCCCTTCCCCTCCCCACCACAGACACCCTGTGAGGTAGGTGGGGCTGAGAGAGCTCTGACAGAAACTGCTGTTTTTCAAGAACAGCTCTTATCAGAACTATGGCTTGCCCAAGGTCATCCAGCCAGGTGCAAGTGGAGGAGTGGGGAATCAAACCCGGTTCTCCCAGATTAGAGTCTGTGCGCTTAACCACTACACCAAACTGGCTCCTGTAAGAATCCTGTAAGCTGGTTTGGGTTCCCATTGGGGAGAAAAGCGGGAAATAAATGAAGCAAAAGAAGGTAATCAAGTAGGTTATGAAGTAAATGTTGGAGCTTGGATATGCAGCCTAGGGTTTCCACCTCCAGGGTGGGACATTCCTGGAGATTTTGGGTTGGAAGGGGTTTGGAGAGCAGAGGGACTGCAGCTGGGTAGAATGTCCTAGAGCAGGGGTGTCAAATATAAGGCCCGGGGGCCGGAATTGGCCCATCCAGGGCTCTTACCCACCTGCAAGCAACTGATATGTATGGAAACCTAAGGTACTCCCTGTTTTATGGTATCCCTTGGAAAAAACCTAGTCTTGCATATGATTAAATACATTTATTGGGGCTCTTGTGGGTTCCCCAGGAAATTTCTCTACTAGGAATCAATTGCTTTTGTTTGCATTTTGAGTAAAAAAAATAATGTTAATTGGGTTTGCCTGTATCCTTTATAAAGTTTATATCTTTGGTATCTGGCGTTACATTTTATGGCACACATGGCCCAGCCTGACAAAGTCACATTTATGTCAGATCTGGCCCTTGTAACAAATGAGTTTGTCACCTCTGTCCTGGAGTCCTCCAAAGTAGCAGTTTTCTTTAAGAAAGGTGATCTCATTCTCACAACAGCCCTGCAAGGTGGGTTAGGCTGAGTGAAAGTGCCTGGGCCCAGAGAGTTTCAGTGGGGATCTAAATGTGGATCTACCCAGTTCCTAGTCCAACCCTTTAACCATTACACCAACTGGGGAGGGGTGAGAAAAACAACTCAGTGACCTGAGATCTGAGACCCCCCAGGACTGACTGGTCCAAGGAAGAGTCAATGGATTCACTGGCAGGCTGCTGCCTGGAACTGGTTGTTACTGCCACCCAGAGGCAAACCTTTAAATAACATCTTATTTATTAACCCAGTGGGAAAGTGGGGGTTTGTTAGACTTAATTAGTGGGTGGGTTAGTGATATTATTGTTGTTGATTTTTTCCTCAATCAATAATGGGTCATAATTGATTAATTTAATCTAATTTATAGGGTTTAGAACTAAATTATAGAGCTGTGACCTCAGGAGAAACACTGGGTGAATCGGAGAAGAACTGGAGAATATCTAGGGAACAACATCACCGCTAGTGGCTGATCTGGTGCTGGAAGGGGATCGCCCTAATCATACTAAGGATTTAATGTTTTGCTTAGAGGAGAAGATAGTTAGTGATTAGGTGCTAGTTAGACATAGTTAGCTGAACCTAGAGAGGAGCGGCCTGGAGGAAGTCGACAGATTGCTCAAGACTGTACGCCCAACCACATTCAACTTTGATCCGTGCCCTTCTTGGCTGATTAAAGCCGGCCACAAAGGGTTTTGAGGTGCCCTAAGGGAGATGATCAACAAGTCCCTCATGGAGGGACGGTTCCCAGGGGCACTCAAGGAAGCGATGGTCCGCCCTCTCTTTGAAAGGAACAGGCACACTAGCTGTGCATTCTTTCAGGGCTGGGTAGCACACACGGCAAATGCTGGCTTGTTATTGATGGGTCTAGTGACTATGATAGGTATATTTACACAGTATAGGGAAAGGAGAGAGAGATAGTGTGGCACAGTGGTTAGAGTATCAGCCTAGAACCTGGGCGACTGGGGTTCAAATCCCCACTCTGACCTGAAATTTGCCGAATGGCCTTGTGTCAGTCGCATTCTCTCTCAGCCCAATCCACCTCATGGGGTTCTAGGTTGCCAGCCTCCAGGTGGGGCCTGGGGATCCCTCGCTTTTACAACTGATCTCCAGCTGACAGAGATCAGCCCCCCTGGAGAAAATGGCCACTTTGAAGGGTGGCCTCTATGGCGTTGTACCATGCTGAGGCCCCTCCCCAAACCCCACCCTCTCCTGGATCCACCCCCAAAGTCTCTAGGTATTTTCCAACCCAGACCTGGCAACCCTACAGGGTTCTTGTCAGGAGCTTCCTGAGCTTCTTGTAAGAAGGGTGAGATAAAACAGGCTGACATGAGTGAAAGAGCTAGACAGTGAAATACAGAGGGTGTGAAATTTCACACACTAAATTTAAACAAATGTATGGTTTTAATCGGGGTCATTTCGTAGAAAAAGAGGTGCAGGAGCTCATTAGCATAACTCATTAGTGTAACTTATTTGCATAGGACACATACCCTGACATCACTGGAAGTGTGTCAGAAGGCAACACCTACCACTCAGGCTCCACTAGGTCCCTTTGGAGGTTTTGGGTTGGTAAGTATTTGGGGGGGGGGAACGTGCAGATCTGTCCTCGCAGAGGAGGGAGAGCTTGTATCTGAATAAAACGTGGTCTTAAAGGTGCCACTGGACTGTTTTGGATTGCTAGCTATTGGGGGGGGGGGAACGTGCAGATCTGTCCTCGCAGGGGAGGGATAGCTTGTACCTCAATAAGACTTGGTCTTAAAGGTGCCACTGGGCTATTTTGGATTGCTAGCTATTGGGGGGAGGGACACACGCACATCTGCCCTCACAGAGGAGGGAAAGCTTGTACCTGAAGGCTGGCCAGGGGGGACTCTGCAACTTACCTGGCTGCTTCTTGTGCCTCCTGGCCTGACTGAGGGCTGCTGGGAGCAGGGGGCGGGGCTTGTTGCATGTGCCCACCCCCTGGGCTCCTTACTGCCGGAGCTCCGCTCCTGTGCGCTCCCGCAGGAAATGACCCCTGGTTTTAATATAACAAAACCTATTCCTCTCATACTCTGACCACACAACCCCCCTCAGCCTACTGGTAGCCTCAGTTGCCCTGAATGAGATATGAATGATAGTTTCTCTCTTAGCAGTTGGTGGTTTCCCTAGGTGGTCAAGTTGGGGATTCTGTATAGGGGCCGGAATGCTGTGTCACCAAAAAAGCAAAGCGTTGTCTGGGCAGATGGCCCCCCGCTGGCAGTGGAGGGAGAGGGGTAAGGTTGTCAGATCCAGGTTGGGAAACTCCTGGAGATTTGGGGGTGGAGCCTGGGGAGGACAGGGACCGCAGCAGGGTCCAGTGCCATGGCGTCCACTCTCCAAAGCATCCATTTTCTCCAGGGGAACTGATCTCTATAGTCTGGAGAAGAGCTGTAATTCTGGGGGGAGATGCCCCAGGTCCCATGTGGAGGCTGGCATCCCTGTTCTCCAACATCTATTGGGAACTAATCTTTTCTCACTCCCTTGCAGTGAAAGGCGCTAATGTACCTCTCTACAAAATGATTCAAATACTTCCTCTGCTTTGCGGGGCAATGGCTTTTTATTTTATGTTCTTTTGCCTCACGGCAGGGTTCCATCAGCTGGAAATTCCACTGTTTCGCTTTTCTGGAGCCAGTGGCAGACATTGGAGTGGTTCCCAAGAGACCCTGGTACTGTCTGGCTTCTGTCACTCCCTTCCACCCACAAGGAACATGAAAGTCTACGCAAGCATCTGTGCAATGGTGCTCCTGTTTCATCTTGCTGTGTGCGCCCATGTTACTGGTCCTCCAGGTCAGTTGCTCTCCATCATAGCAGGAGTGGATGAAAGTGAGGTGGAGGAGGTGGTCTATTGGCCCAAGATGTTTTGGGGCCAGAGGCAGGAAATTCATGTGGCTTCCCTACCCTCCCATTAATTCATGTGGCTCACTCTCTCCTGCGTCATTCTTCTGCGCAAGCCCTGTTGAAATACAACAGAAGCTGCCCCAAAGACGCTCCTGTATATTTCTATAGAGCTGGAACTGCAGAATATCCTGGAGAATTTATTCTCTTTGGGTCAAAACTTCCATGGGTCTTCTACCCCCCTGCTCTTAATGACCCCCTGGTTTTGCCACCTGAACGAGCTGCATCTGAGCTCTCTTGTCCCTTTATAGTGTCCGTGAGAATGGATGAGGTGAGATCTAGACAAGGAGTTAAATTTCCTGGCAGGAGACAGATCTTTTTTTCAAAATGGAGCGCAGTTGGAAAGAAGGTTTGAAGCCCATGGAATGTGGATGCTCGTCCCAGTCTTGTCTTTGGTGAAGAGGTTTAGCAGCCTTTTATATTGTTTTTGAACTCTCCAAACCTTTTGGACTGGAAACAAGCTCCTGCACAAACAAAACCCTCAAGAGTGAGAATTGAGGCTTCTCTCAAAGCCATCAGCTGTCTTCAGCCTCAGGTTTGAAAAGTGGTATGAGCAAAGAATTACTTTCCATGATGTATACATGATGCGTTTCTGTTTGTGTCCTAGTGTTGGGAAAAGGTTTGGCAAGTTTTTTTGGGGAAAAACCTCCTGAACCTCTTTGCCAGGAGTGAGAATTGAACAAGTGTGCGCTCTATAAATGGCTGTTTCACTTTTCTGCCACCTTCAGCCAAGGGGTGGGTGGGGTTATTGGGTCTCATGCATCTATGTTTCCAGGACCAATTCTTGCCACACAAAAATCTGCCCTCCCCTGACAAAATATACTGATATTTCAAAAAGTTACATGAAATCGTAAGCATTTGAAAAGAAAAAGGAGTTGTCATGTGATGATCTCTTCCAGTGAAACCCATCTAGAGATATTGTGGGATTTCCTTATTTATAGATTTTTAAGCTTGAGAAAGACTTGATTTTTTTTTTGGCTAGAGGAAAATGCCATAAGAGTAGTAGAATCATTTTATTGCATGTGGCCATAGGCCTTCACAATATTAAAACACTCATGGAGGTGCTGTAAGAGAGGAAGCCTTACCCTGTAATGGGCACGTGCAGGCTTTTTGTAATGCTTTTAAAACCTCTTTTTGCCCAGAGCCACCAAGAGAACGAAGAAGATTAGCTGTGCATTGGAGGCAGTGATGCCACTAGCACTGTGATATAAAGCCTATTCCTATGTGTGTTGACCCTGAACACATGAAGCTGCATTATATGGAATCACACCACTGGTCCATCAAAGTCAATATTGTCAGACTGGGAGCAGCTTTCCAGGGTCTCAGGCAGAGGTCTTTCACATCACCTATTGCCTGGTCCTTGTAACTGGAGATCAGGGGTCATTTCGTAGAAAAAGAGCTAGGGGAACTCATTAGCATAACTCATTAGCATATGCCAAACCCCATGACATCAGGGGCCCAGCGGTGGACCTGCAAGGCCAGCGGGAGTGCGAGGAAGCCCCGCCAAGGCCCTCCCTGACCCCAGGCAGGCAGGGGTGGGGAGAGGCGGGGAGGAAGCACCCTCCCTCTTCTCCTGCCTCCTCCTGGCTGAATGAGGGCTGGAAGCGGGGTGGCCGGAAGCAGGGGGCGGGGCTTCGTCATGCGCCCCGCCCCCCTGCACCTCACCCGGGGGAAGTACGTTCCCCCACGTTCCCCCCCGAAATGACCTCTGCTGGAGATGCTGGGGATTGAACTTGGGACTTTCTGCATGCCAAGCAGATGCTCTTATCACTGAGCCGTGGCTCTACCACTGAGCCACGGAAAAGGGATTCACTGAATTCGTGATCAACTGAATTCATGATCAACATCCAACACCAGCCTACTGTAGCATCAATGGTCTCAAAAGCTACTGAGAGGTCATAGAATCAGAAATTTGGAAGGGGCCTGAAGACCATCCAGTCCAGCTTCCTGCACCATGCAGGATGACCTAAAGCATCCCTGACAAATAATTGTCCAACCTCCACTTAAACACCTTCAAGGAAGGAAAACCCACAACATCCCATGGAAACCGTTTCCACCACCGAACTGCCCTTATTATTAAAAAGTTCTTCCTAATATCTGCTGATATCTCCCCACCCATAATTTCAGTCCATTATTACGAGTCCTGTCCTCCACTACCAACTAGAACTACGCCCTACCCTACTCAAAACGGCAGCCTTTCAAGTACTTTAAAAGAATAATCATACTCAATCTATCACATTCCTGACAAAGGAGCTAGTGTCTGTCTATGAGGTTATCATACAGTCGCTTCCATTATAAAGGTGCCCCCTCCTGGACTGTTCCATTCCACTACAGTTCTAATCTCTTTATTTTTTAAAAGCCCTCTTGAATGTTACTGTCATGCACATTCTGTGGAATCATAGAAGTGTGGGGTGTTTTTCATAACCTCCTCAAGCAGGCCATTCCACAAGGTGGGAACCCCCCCTGAGAATGCACATGAACAGGCTAATCTGAACCCAGGACTGTCCCTGCTGGAATTTCTTTGTTCCCACTCACTTTCTTTTCCCCATTTCTTCCAGAGAGCACTGACCCCCCAACTCACTGCTGCTTCAGATATTCGTCAAAGCCAATCCCACTCAGATTACTGGTAGACTACTACAGAACCAGTGAAAGGTGTTCTTCCCCAGCCATTGTGTAAGTATAATCATCATAACTATTTTAGTAAAGGAGAAAGGGGGGAGTCATATATGCTGAGGGTGCCCCCTCTGGTTTAGCTAAACCTCCAGCCCCCTTTTAGGCCCTAACCTGGATGGGCCATATGAGCCCAATCTTGTCAGATATTGGAAGCTAAGCAAGGCCAGCCCTTGTTAGTTCTTGAATGGGAGACCATAGTCCAGGGTTGCTATGCAGAGGCAAGTAAGAGCAAACCATCTCCGTTCGCCTCTTGCCTTAAAACCCCCGAGGGGTCGCTGTAAGTCAGCTGCGACTTGATAGTACTTTACACACACACAAACACGCCTTTTTAGATGCAACTGCAAGTCCTTATGTGTCTTGACCAGTGTTCCCTCTAAGCTGAGTTAGTGTGAGCTAGCTCACAGTTTTTTAGCCTCCGGCTCACAGATTTTTGTCTTGGCTCAGGAAGGAGGGCTCCAGAACACACTAATTTATGCAGTAGCCAAATCACCTGCTCACAACTTTAATGCCAGTAGCTCACAAAGTAGAATTTTTGCTCACAGGACTCTACAGCTTAGAGGGAACATTGGTCTTGACATACTGAAACTGTTTGTTTCTTCTTGGAAAACCTCTTTGGATGTGTTGATCCATCTAGCTGGTGTAGACAGAAATGTTTACGTACGTGTGTGTGTCAGATATGAATGGGTGTTGTTCCTTTAAGCTTGGCTGCTTCCATGCAAGGGGTCCCTTGGCACTGCAGACAGATTACTCATCTGCAAAATGCCAGAAGCAGAACATTAACTGGGGTTCCACACAGTTTTTAAAATAAGGCTGCGCTCTGCTCCCCTTAATGTTGCAATGTCACATTCCCACACAGCCTGCTTTCCTAAGAGCAGCTGTGATGTAGAAATGGTTAGTTAAAAGCCCCGTTACCTGGGGAAGGGGGTGTTTGTAAGACACTGTCAATTTTTTAAAACTAAGTATAAAGGAGGCAATTACATTTGACTAGCCTTTATTGGCATACGTATATACATACAATAGGAGATCAGATTAAATATAGATCAGAAAATACAAATCCATATAGGGTAGAATTGGAGCTACGGTGCAGAAAAACAGCATGAAAGCAGAAAAACCTAATGGTTACTTATCAGAACGTATAGCCATAGCACTAAGAAGAAGAAGAAACCTTGCTACTATTTCGGTTATTTCTGCATCTTGATTATCAAGCAAAAACAGAACCTTAAAATCGTCAGGAATTTCTGAGAACTGAGCTAATATTCAAGTTTATTACGGTCATAGACCAGTATAAATTGAGCTAATATAGGATACAGAAGATCCTGGCGGGGCACCAGATAAAAGGGACATTGAAGGAGAACATGGGGGACAGTTTCAACACAGTCCTTCTTACAAGGACAATACCTGCTGGAGTAGGGGATCCCCTGGAATCTTCCAGAGAGAAGAGCAGAAGGAAGAACATTAAATCTGGCCAAGGAGATGGCTCTGCGCAATTTTGGAGCTATAAGTTGATAAAGATATACAGCTGGAAGATTTGCATTTGGAACCATCCCTAAATTTAGGGGGAAAGGAGGCGATTTCTATGTTAAGACAATGACACAAAGGTACTTAGAGGAGGAGGCCCAAAATCAGATAATTGCTCTGGCTGTTTTCTGGCAACGCCGGTTCAACTCACAAGAACAAAATCCAGAGCTTTCCCTA